CTAGACAATACAACACAGTATCGGGTTCATCATAGTACAAACCATAATAAAAGAAACCATGATTCATGCATACGAAACCATAACGTAATTACATCAAACATCATGCTGCATTTAATACTGAAAATTAAATCAAACAATAACAGACCAATACTGTATCAGACTCGGGCTCCATTGGCAACCTTTGTAACGGCCCCGAAAATTTAAAATGAAATATGTGTATTAAAAATGTCAAATACGGAAGTGTAATAAAAATTTTAATTAACATTCCTTACACAAAAACCAAAAACGTGCTCAAAATATAAAAGAATAAACTAACTAAAAGAGATACTCGAAAATAAGAACTATAAATATAACTATGGAGTCTTTAGGCGTCCCCTTCGCCGTCTTCCTGCGGAACGGGCTCAGGAACAATGTCTTCCTGATCTGAAATGGTTAAATAAGGAATGAGCTACACCAGCCCAGTAAAGACATCACACTATCTCACCGCCACGGAGGTAAAGGTGGATAGAAAACACAAAAAAGACTAATGGAGCATAATTTATAATAAACTCGTTTATTAACATAAAAATATTTACTGTCCACTTACCTCAGTGAGATCCATAAAACAACATATGAAAGTAGTAACATTATCATCATCATGAAATCATATGAACTGTATAACATAATACTTACCACGCCTTTGCATTTCATTCATTAAACAACACATTTTCCTCATTTACCAGCCTACTAGTATCCATGGGGATCTATAGGGGTCCCGCTACCCGTGAACCCTTAACAATTATAACCTGATTCCAGAGCCGTCCCCATACCCCGTCCGGTATGGGCACCAAAACCATGAACCTCAATACCCCGTCCGGTATGGGCGCCAAAACACAGAAGGTCTCCATACCCCGTACGGATGAGAGACCACATTCTCGGTAGGGTTCCCTACGGACCCGGTCCGTCCACCATCTCCCAGGATATCTAGTCAGGCTGTCTACATTATCCATTTATCAATTCACGTAACCTTTTATTCCTTTTTTCCTCAGTCACCATCATCAAATCACAAATAAACATGCAAACCAGTAGTTTATGCCAAACAAGACAACACACAACATCGAGTTCTCAGTCATTCAACTCATAATCAATAAAACAGTGATATATGCACACGAAACTATGAAATGAAAACATCAGCATCATACTGCATGTAAAACTGTAAAATAGAACAAACAACAACTAACCGACAAATACACCAGACTCAGGCTCCATTAGCAACCTTAAACAATTTCACACATATATTGATTCGTGAAAATACCTGATATCATGTATTGAACTTTAATACCGTGATAGAAAATAGGGTGAGGGGTCCTTACTTGTTTCGGGGTCTGAATACGGCTCTATAGTGCGCCTACAGGCTGTCCCTAATTTTTTCTGAATTTTTTCTGGGAAACTGAAACGCACTAC